TACAAAGATGAAATAGAACAAAACGTATCGAACTCGTCAAAAGCAAGGCAAATAATTGATGAAGAGGAACTGCTGACGAGTTTCAGTTTCTTTTCATGTGTTGGTTGTGTTTCCTTTCATATATATATATATATATATATATATATATATATATATATATATATATATACACATATGTATATATATATATATATATATATATATATATACACATATATATACATATATATATATATATATATATATATATATATATATATGTGTAAGCGTAAGTGACCACGCAAGCCACTAGATGTAAGCGTAACAGAGATGGTCTTGGGCGGTCAATGAAAGGGGTCTTAACTTGCTGGTTTATTTCTGAAGATAGATATGAGACCCCAAGAGATCCCCGTGTCCCCGGGTGGAGGACGAGGTGGTGGAGCTGGACCCTGTGTCGCTTGGCCTGTCTGCCCTGTCTCCTTCTGTCTTAGGCACGTGCCCTTTTATGCGGCGGTTTCCTTGGAGGGCGGATGTTTATTCCTGTGTGAAAAGAGAAAGGAGGGCAGCACCTGCATCCTGCGCAAGGAGAAAGGCATTTGCTTGGACCGAGGTGTGAATCTGCCATCCGGTCTTGCTACGTATTGTTCACATCGCTCGGCCACGCGAAAGGCTCGTCCTCGAGCCGTCTGCAACGCTGGAACACTGCAGTAGCGCATAGGGATACATGTTCTGTTCGGTGTCTACAGATGGTTTCTGGTGATCCGATGGTCGCTTGGGTCGTCGCGTGCCAAGGTAGCGGGTGCGGCGGAGGTTTCGCACTGAGGTGCAACATTCAGTAGCGAGGAGGGTCAATCATCTTCAGAAGCTGAAATATAAGTGTACCAGGCCAGTAAAAGGGCTAAGGAGGAGGATAATAATGTGTTTGTCAATCACCTTACTAAGTTGCAAGAAAAAAATGAGGGCATAATAAGAATAATTTGTTACGAGAAGGGTAATGTGTCAAGTAAGTGGGTGTTAATTACATGGATTTCTTAGGATTAGCGAGTTCTGTAGAGTACCATCATACCGAAGAAAGAAAAAGTAATTGGACAAGAATTCCATATCTTTGGGCTAAATAGGCAAGTATATATGCTTCGAACATATAGGCAGCTGGGCCTGAACTTAATTCTAACAGTGCGCGTCTCGGCGCTTCAATCGTATGAGCGTAAGTGTGCGGCGGGCGCAGGATTCCTTCGTTTACGGCCATGAGCCGGGCGTGCGCGTCTGGGGCGCTTCAATCGTATGAGCGTAAGTAACATGTCGGTGCGGCGGGCACATGATTCCTTCGTTTACGGCCATGAGCCGGGCGTGCGCGTCTGGGGCGCTTCAATCGTATGAGCGTAAGTAACATCTCGGTGCGGCGGGCACAGAATTCCTTCGTTTACGGCCATGAGCCGGGCGTGCGCGTCTGGGGGCGCTTCAATCGTATGAGCGTAAGTAACATCTCGGTGCGGCGGGCACAGAATTCCTTCGTTTACGGCCATGAGCCGGGCGTGCGCGTCTGGGGCACTTCAATCGTATGAGAGTAAATAACATCGCGGTGCGGCGGGCGTAGGATTCATTCGTTTACGGCCTTGAGCCGGGCGTGCGCGTTTCGGGCGCTTCAATCGTATGAGCGTAAGTAATATCTCGGTGCGGCGGGCGCAGGATTCTTTCGTTACGGCCATGAGCCGGGCTTAAAATTAACTTGCGGTGATAATAATTATGTAAGCCTATATGAAGTATGGTGTCCTGTAATGCATTATCATCGTTATGATCATTTGCAATAGACTACCTACCATCAGTCAGATACAAGTTACATATTCACCAATTCCTTAAACTAAAGAAGCATAAATTCTTGCATAGATGATGATAAGATATCGAACTTCGAGAGGGCGTCATGAAAGCGGTTTGGGTTCAGTTAAAAGTCTTAGGGATGGCACTTAGTAAAATTCATAATCCTAGAGTGAAATCCGTGTAGGGTGGGCAGGTAGGTGGGTTTGGGCCGAAGGCAGGTAATCGACATGTATCTTCAACCTATGTGTGAAAAAGCGAACGATTAGCGTGGGGAGTATAAGTAAATACAGGTGTTGTGAAAGACAGAACGATATACGCACATTCATAGAGGAAGTAGTAACGAGTTACTTACTAATAGGGTACAGTATGCAGGTGAAAACAATATCACAGCGAAAATCGTAGCAGTAAATATGAATAACATAACGGGGGAAATCGAACATATCTACACATACTTATCTGTTCTAAGAGAAAATAGAATATAATGAATTGCAATGTGAAGACAATAATAATAAACATTAGATAAAAAACAGAATAGCAGAAACATATCATAGCAATTAAAGTATGGTTAGGGAAGGGGATTGAGGTGTGAGGTGTGGGTGGGTGTCACTTAGGTTTGATCTCTGTGTGTGACTTCGTTTGTTGTGTTGAAAAACAATGGTTGACAGCGAGAAGTTATGTATTATATAGTTAGTAGTTTGTGTTCGTTGAGTGGCATGTACTTGAACTTGAAAGAAGGCAACTTGTATGTAAGGTGTGGGTGGGTATAGGGAGGGCAATAGTTAATCTGGCACTAATAGGCACACTTACTTTTAATAGTAGCTAGGAAGTATTGGTGGAGCTGGGTAGAATGGCGGCTCCATGGATGTGCTGACGAAGGTTCGTGAAGACGTGGCGAGGTAGATGAGCCGGATTTGTGGCGGCGTAGAGTGCGGGAACATATCGTCAGCGACTTCGTCAGGAGGGTAGCACAGACGTGAGTAGTCAGCACGAAGTAGTAGGGTAGACATGGTGCGAAGAAGACTTGGTAGCGATGGCTGGGCGTTAAAGTAGGCGAGGAGGCACTTCGACAGTAGTAGCTTGTAGGCAGATAGCATGGATCGGCGTCGGCGAGGAGGTAAACGTAAGGCGTTCTGAGGTTCTTGATCACCGCTGCCATCAGATGTAAGCGTAAGTGACCACCGCTGCCATCAGATGTAAGCGTAAGTGACCACGCAAGCCACTAGATGTAAGCGTAACAGAGATGGTCTTGGGCGGTCAATGAAAGGGGTCTTAACTTGCTGGTTTATTTCTGAAGATAGATATGAGACCCCAAGAGATCCCCGTGTCCCCGGGTGGAGGACGAGGTGGTGGAGCTGGACCCTGTGTCGCTTGGCCTGTCTGCCGTGTCTCCTTCTGTCTTAGGCACGTGCCCTTTTATGCGGCGGTTTCCTTGGAGGGCGGATGTTTATTCCTGTGTGAAAAGAGAAAGGAGGGCAGCACCTGCATCCTGCGCAAGGAGAAAGGCATTTGCTTGGACCGAGGTGTGAATCTGCCATCCGGTCTTGCTACGTATTGTTCACAATATGTATATATATGTATATATATATATATATATATATATATATATATATATATATATATATATATATATACATGTATGTATGTATATATGTATGTATGTATAACTTACTATGAGAAGATTTACCTTATATGAAACCAGACTTAGTTGGCGTAGTCAGACTTGAGGCGTTTTTACTTTCACTGACAAATAAAAATCCCGTGATTGTGCTAGTATGCTAGACATCAAAATAATGCCTTTGTGATTTCTTTTGAAGTTTCAGTATGTGCCTTTTTCTTCTTGACGATTATTTTTTGCGAATTAATGTAGTGTTTTTCGACTGCTTATCAGGTATATCGGAGGTCAATTACATCACTGTTTCAAATAGGATTTCATAATGTACTTCAGTCCTGCTCAGTCTATTTCATATTCGGTTTAGGTGATAGACGATTTCTAAATCCCTGATTGCAGCAGGTATACAGGTGTTTTCCAGGTCATATAAGTCTAAGAGTGAAACTGAGTACCATTTAGTGTAAAAAAAAAAAAAACACAACACAAATACATACACTCTATATACGTATATGGTTTAAGTATCTGTCAATACTGTAGATATTCATTCAATATCCAAACCAACCATATAGAAATTCTGGGTTTACACTAGACAATGAACTGAGTTAGAAACCTCATGTTCTGAATATTTCGAAAACTCCTGTTTACAAGACCAGATGTTGATTTTTTTTTCTTTCCACAGTAGACATATTACTGTCCCTTGTGAGAAGCTGAAATAAACTCCTTAAAGAAACACATATTAACAATCGATTATACCCATGGCTATGACCATAAAGACCTTTCAGTATTGAGGAATTATGTATTCCAGAAACCGGAACTACACTTGCACAACATAATGTTATTTTCAGAGTTTCTTTTTTTTTCTTTATTTCTTTCCTTCTAACTTGAACCATGGAACCAAGTGTTTCAGTTTGAAGAAAAGGAAAATTGCAAATAATCTTTAAAACTATTATAAAAGATTTTTCATGACATTTGCGTTTGACTGTACAGTCTCAGTTACTATAAATAACTGAGGATGATTTATTTATGAATTCACAGGTCTGTTAACTATTTTCCTCGTTGGATCAGGACTTTTCAGTTTTCAAGAACGTTTCACTAGAACATTTAATACACATTGCACATTGCACATTGCTACACATGATGAACCATAAAGAAATATAACTATTAGTGCTTTCTATTTGCATTTTTGTAAGACTTTTATATACCTTTCATTTCCTTTCTATAAATGACTTTATGAAATCGTTTTAATCACTTACAAATTGTGAAATGAGCATCACAAAAGTTATCTAAAAAATAATAATTCGTGCATAATTTGCGCATACCAATATATAGGTCTCCATATTGAAACCTCTATTCTATTTCGTAAAAACGGACTCTGTACTGCACTCAATACACTTTTTACAAGGAAAGGAATTCGCAAGGAAAAGCAAATGAATTTGTTCCAGAAATCACGCCCAGCGAGACCGCAGAAGGGATCGCCATGATTAGGCACTTTAGAGGCCGCAAATATGATTGCAAAGTCGTTTGTCCACAACTTGGATGGACCTTGATTGGGTGATATATACCGGCGGAGGTGACCGAGGGCCGTCAGACAGCTCCC